TGAGGGAAGTTCTCGGTATATCTGTCAAAATAGGGAATTGGGAGTTATATCGGCTCCATTTGGAATATACTTTATCACTTCCTCTCTTGGCAGAAATCCTATGATATTTTAGGCCTATGTCGCTTCACCTTCCAGTTAATTTAACAATATTTTTTATATTAGTAACAAGGAATCACGCATAGATATATTTATCTATCCCACCCTCTCCTCCCTATCCTTCCAACCTCTCACGATCCCATTCCTCCATCCTCTCCCCTCCCGCTCCCATTCCCAACCTGTGCCTCTTCCTTTCCCTCCCCTCTTTCTATTCCTATCCTGTTCCTCTTCTTTCTCCTTCTCCCCTCTTCTCCCCCTCATCCCACTTCCACTCCTTGCCCCTTCTCCCTCTCCCTTTTCTCATCTCAACTTTCTCTCTTGTCCCTTTCTCCATCTACAATCCTCCTTCATATCACATTTTCTTCCCCTTACCCCTTCTTCCTCTCCTCTTTCCCACCCCTACCCCCTCCTTATCCTCCTTCCCACCTCTACCCCTCCTCCTTGACCCTTTCCCACCCTCATCCACTCTCCTTATATCCTTTCCCACTCGTCCCCTCCTCATCCCTTTTCCCACCCCTACCCCTCTTCCTCTCACCTTTCGTCCTTATCCTCCTCCTTATCCCCCTTCTCACCCCTACCCTTCCTCTTATCACCCATCCCCACCCCTACCCCTTCTCCATGTCCCCTTCCCACCCTAACCCTTCTCCTTACACCCCTTCCCACCCCTACCCTTCCTCCTCATCCCCCTTCCCACCCCATACCCCTCCTTCCTCACCCCTACCCTCCTTCCTCACCCCATACCCCTCCTTCCTCACCCCATACCTCGCTCTCTCTGGGTCGGCCTCATGATGACGATACAGAAAATGTGTGTCATGCTCAGCCCAGCGAATATTTTTGTGGCGCGAAGCATTTATGGAGTCATACACGAGTCAGCAGCGCCTTATCAATATGCAGCAGCAGAGGAATAAATCGGTGTTTGGATAACATGAAGAGATGAACCCGGAGAAGGTCAAGTCGCTTGCCCCGCGATGGAGTCTTGGCGGAGGAGGGAGGGGGAGGGTGGGGGGGAAGGAAGGGAGAGGGAGAGAGATGAGGATGGAAGGGGAGGGAGAGAGGGGAAAGGAGAGAGAAAAGAGCTGGAGAGGGAGGGAGAGAAGAAGGAAAAAAATAAAGAGGAGAGAAAAAGAAGGGTTTTTTTGGAGGGTGAAAAAAGGGAAAGGTATAGGAGAGCAAGAAAGAATTGGGGAAAAAAGAGAGAAGGGAAAAGAAGGAAGTTAAAGGAAGGAAGAGCCGGAGGGTGAGAAGGAAGAAAGAAGCGGGTGGAGGAATCGGCGACGGTGGTGTGGGGGGAGGGAGGGAGGGGAGGGGGAGGGGGATTATAATATCATCACGTTGAGCCATTGATGAATATTGCCGTCTTAACCTTCGCTTCCCCACGTCCGGGGAGCCACCTGGTGGAGGGAGGGGGGAGGGCGTCGCCTGACGTCTGGGGAGGGGCGCAGCTCTTCGGGATGGAGGGAGAGAAGGAGAGAGCGAAGGAAGGAAGAAGAGGGAAAAAGAGAAATAAAGGAGGAGGGAAAGGCAGACACTGAGAAAGGGAGAGAGAGAGGGGGGGGAGAAGAAAAGGGATATTAGGAAAGAAAGAAGAGGGGAGAGAGAGAGAGAAGAGGAATAAAAAGGGACATCAAGAAAGGAAATGAGAAAGAGAGAGAGGGAACTGTGGCCCCTGTTCGTTTCCTTCGTGTCTAGTTTAAGAGGATTGTGCCAACTTCTCCGGTCTTCGTGTAGCAGTATAATGCGAGTTAAAAATATAAGGTGATAAAACGATATCATTTGATTTGATATGATAAAAGGATTTATTACGTCAGACAGATATAGATAGAATAGTAAAAAAAAATGCACCACAAGGGTATGAATAGTAAATCCGTGATAAGATTAAATGGCGCAACATACTGAAAAAACGGTAACGTGACTATATGCATATACACATTTGTATATAACCAATATATATATTATATATATATATATATATATATATATAATATATATATATATATATATACACACACACACACACACACACACACACACACACACACACACACACACACACACACAACACACACACACACACACACACACATATGTATGTATATATTACATATATTTATAATTAGCGATATATGATTGAGTAAACAACATAGATACAGATAGGTAGCTACATGTATAAATCTGCCACCACAACCCCAAAGCGAAGGGCGAGTCCCCCGCGCCACGCCACCCGCCCGGCGCCATGAGGTTTCGCAAACGTTGAAGCTTCGACCTCCTCCGACCGGCAACCCTCAGCTCTCCCGGATGAGCTTAAGCGCCCCGTGTGACACCGGAGCCTCGCCTGCAATCCCTCGCGAATTACTACACACTTCAGACGCTTACGAGGAGGACGCGGATGACTTGCTCATCGATT